TTTCACAAATTGTATTTTAAAATTAAGGACATACTACATAAACTTGTTGAAACCAAACTGCCACGACAGTATCTAAATTCATAAGCACGTTGGGATCATAAAAATTTGATAACTTAATCTCCGTAGATTTTCGAGAAATCCGTGTCCCTCGCGGCTCGCATTAGCCAATAATTATTTTCGAAATTTTATTCCATTATTACGAAGTTGCAGTTAATTCTTATTTCCTTTCGCTGAACATATACTTACTTTTCTTCATTTAGTCGATTTCTTTCAGCGACTGCTCTTACTCTCTCTCCCTCCTTCTTTCCCTCATTTTCCCACTCTCAGACGCGCGCGAACGCTTGCGGACTTTTTTCATGTTTTTATGCGTTGCTCGTTTTTCCCTTCCGAAATATAATTGGCGGTGCGATGCACCTGTCTTCCCCTCTCTCTCTGAACCCCTTCGCCCCCTACCTGCCGGCCACTTCTTGTACTGCAACTTCTCCCAGACTTATCCCACGATATCGACTTCCACGTATTCCGGCGCGTGCCACGCTTACTTGAAATACGTTTCACAAGGTTACACGATGCAGCAGGGACACACACGCATGTACCACGCATACGAAAGCACGAGCACGCACATAAACGCAAACAGAAAATTAACACGATAGAGGAATATCGAAACAGCCGTCGCGTCCAACGGGAGCTTATGCTCCGTGATAAATTTACGAGAGGTCACTCGACATTTACTATCGGCTCTGTTATTATATTTTCATAACGTTCTGCTATGTAGAGTGTTCCAACTGTTAAATGTACAATCTATAATAACTGAGATATCTTAGCTGTACCGATTATTAGCACGAAGTGTGTTACCTTTAGAATGCACACCTAAATATGCATAGTGGGGGCAGATGTTTTAACACCTCGAAAAATGGTCGCGATTTGAAACACAGCGATTTACATTCGAATCTGAGCAAATTTCATTTCAATAAAAAATGCGAATGTGGTCGATCCACCTTTACGTGCGACACATTCGTTGTAGATGTGTCCCTTATCGTCGACAGTTGCAGAGATATTTACGTGGGGAGATTAAAATGGAACACATTGTACCTGTTGCTTGCACATATTATAAAAATACAGGGAGTATCCGTTGGGATTATCCATGCAAAATCGTTTTTCATTTTAAGAGACTACTTTATTCCATAAAAAGGAATAGGCAAAGGAAATATAGCAAAGGAAAGAACAACTATTTGTTCAAACTATATACTGTTTCTCCATAATAATTATTTATATTTTTTTATTCGTTCGTTTCATCTCGACTTGGCCTTCAAACAATCAAAGTTACGAAGAAATGGCAATAAACTTGCAATAAAGCCATTTCTTCATGACAAGTATTCTTATGAAAAAACAGCTAATTAGTACAGCATTTCAAATTTTTATGTTCAAAATCAAACAACCGTTCTCACATTGCACTTTACATACGCATTTCTACATGTCTAGTAACTTCTTCTTCTCCTTCTCCTTCTCCTTCTCCTTCTCCTTCTCCTTCTCCTTCCCCTTCTCCTTCTCCTTCTCCTTCTTCTCCTTCTTCTTCTTCATCTTCTTCTTCTTCTTCTTCTTCGTATTATTATTATTGTTATTATTATTATTATTGTTATTGTTATTATTATTATTAGTAGTAGTAGTATTCCCAAATCTACTATTTCAAGGTAAAATTATGGAGATATTAAACTTTGTTAATTGAATGAGTCACCTATATCTAAATCTAAAATATCTCCATAGAAATCAAGTTGTTCTTTATCTTATTAAATCTTATTCGAATATATTCTGATTCGAATAAGAACTTACCCGTATAAATGTTTTTCTGGATATATTTTTATTCCATTGGATATTTTTGTTAGTTATTTTGCTAGTGTTCACCTCGTCTTCGTCATCCGAATAAAACTTTGCCGAACTCTGGTATCCCAACACTTCCTCGGATCCCATAAATCGTATTCTAGGGTCCGTACTAGGAAGCAATGTACGAATTCGGTTATTTGCCGAGCTAACTTCAAGACGCGTGTTTGAACTGGAGATTTACCTGGACCGAGCGGAGGGCTCGGAGATGTTCGATTCGGCTCTTTTATTCGATCTAATCCGAAGGCACGGTGCTTACGTAGCTGAATCAACTTCCGTTGCCGCTGTGATATTCTTCGATTGTGAGATGTCAACTCGGTCGTGAGCTTACTGGTCGAACATGATTGCGACCATCGGAACACGAGATTACAGGTATCAATTTTACTTTCCTTATTTGAGCTGTCCACATTTTGAACGGCCAGCTGCCCGCTACCGTAAAAATTAAATCGTCCCAGTCTGTAAATGTAAAATCGTCGGCTTACAGATCCATAGAATAATAATTTACACTCTTCGCGCGCACCACGAAGTGGTTTCCTTCGGCCGCCGCTGTTTCCTTTTTTTGAACACGCTGCCGCGCCGCTTATTAAACGCGAAGCGGGATTCAATCATTTTGTCGGCAAAATATGGACTTTCCAATCACGCGAACATAAACGAGAAAAACTACTGGCCGATCGAGGATCATAAAGTTTTTGACTTCTCCGGGTACTTTGTTGCACTACAGCACGCTGGCTGTGAGAATGTTGCTTGGATTGCGTCATTTGTATCGATGTTTGCGCAATTATATCGAGAAAGTCCAGTAAAAATGATTTTAAAAATACTGTCATTTCTCGAAATTGTCCGCGAACTGTGTCTTACGTAAAGATTGATTTCATTTTAATGATCATTGTTAATGTCCTTCTCGACGTTGATGAGAATTTTGAGCAGTAAAAGGACAGCAGATTTTGACTGGAAATGACACAATCGATTTTGTGAGCTTTCTCACTCGAATACATATATATTTTCTTCGATAAAAGTATATCGATTAATTAGCAACAATGCTATCTTTATGTTCTTTTCTTATATTCGAATAAATTGGTGTAAAACGTCATTGTACATCCGTTTTCATTTTCTAGTAGCGTATACGTTCCAGTGGATTTTGTTTAAAGAATTTTGTAGAAACTCAAAAACTGAAAAAATTGTAATTTAGATTGGAGAGCGTCGGTAAATATAAAATGGCAATAGAGTGGAACCTCGATTATCCGACATCATTGGGATCGAAATAGACCGGATACATCGAGAATCACCAGATAAGCAATACCTGAATACAACAAAATTTTTAAGTGGAACGTCGTTTAATCGGTGTTCGACTATTCTCGGTTTTGATTACCCGGCGTTCGATTATCCGCGATTTTCATTAACCGGCTTTCGTATCAACTATAACAGAATTCTTAAATAGCAAGCATCTTCCTCTAAAGGCCGTATAGGCCATACAGATAACGCACCTCCCCATCCAGCAACCGAGAAACTTTATTCAGCGAAATTCAGATTATATTTTTACCTCTAAATGTCACACCGTTTTTGCAGCTAATGGATCGAGCTGTTCTAGAGTCATTGAAGAGAAATTGTAAACGATTGTTAACGTTGCACATTCTACAACGTGACGATCTTGTAGTTTCATTGAAGCCAGTTAATATGAAAAAAGTCATTTCTGCCGATGCGTGGGATAAGGTACAGTTGAGTATTATTAAAAAGTCATGAGTCATCTTATGGAAATACTCGTCCATACACTGTACGAATGCGAGATTCGGAGGAATACTTGCAGATACGTCGATCAATAATCCTTAGATGTGAACTTTGCATTGCAACAGAAGCAAATCGCATAGAAAACTTACTGTGACAAAGAAGGTATTTAGGTTTTTATTAAATTTGTAGTTATGAAGAATCCTTGTTGATGCTGTTCTAATAATCTTGTGTTGAAAATCTCATGTTATCGAATATTCTAAAAGTCGATTTTCTGTCGAAAGGATTGACTTTTAAACCTATGTACAATAGATTGCACACTTTTTAATTCTCTCGCTGAGTACTATAAATCCTTAGAGTATTGAAGCACTTCTTTAAACATCCTGTATATCACTCGTATCATGTGCTCATTTAATAACTCAAGTTATAATAGATAAGTGTATGTAGTATACAATGTGCTAAGCGGCAGTCTAATTGTATCGCGATTCATAGACCGGATAATCGCAGAACCGCAGATAATTAATTGCCCGGTTATTCAGAACCGCGGATAGTTAATTGTCCGGTTAATCAGAACCGCGGATAATGGGACTCCGGTTAATCAGAACCGCGGATAATTGAACTCCAGTTAAGCGAGGTTCCATTGTATTTCGTACACCAGACTAACGTTTGCTAAAATATTGCAAGTGTAATTATCAACAAGACAAAGTTAAACTTTCCATTCATTATTTTGTACTATTTTTAATGTCGTTTCGTGACAAAAGAAAAAATCATCTTTTCCTTTCGCGGAATACTGCAAACATAATGAAGAGGCAAATTCTATTACGTTCGTTACAAAATACTATAATATTTATAAAAACTTATCACTTATGAAAAATCAGAAAAATATAAGAACTTCCACCTACCGTATTTTAACAAATTGTACATATGTTATAACTACACTGCGAATCTTTATGCAAAATACATATTTTCGACATGAGTTGCGAATGATGAGAGAATGCCAGACATCTCATTCTTTCTCTAATAATTTTATCAAAACAAAAGCTGTAGGTCGATGTTTTATGATCGTCTCAGTTGTCCATTATTTGATATTGTATTTACTCATTTTTGAAATAAATAAAAATTGAAATAAAAAAATTTGAGGATAAATTGAAATAAATAATAAATGTAACAAGCATTTCATTCGATATTTACACTTTCGTAAGATAATAAAACAAACAGAAATATGATTTAATTAGTTTTGCATGATATTGTAACAGACTGCTTTATCAAATTGACAAGTAAACAAAATTATATTCTTTTACATTCCAGATATCATTATTTTATTATCACCTTTGTATTATCAGCTGGTATATACTCGTACGTAAACGTTGCAAACGTCGCAATTCCCGTGCGAACTTACGGTTTGTCTCAATAAATTCTTTATTGCGTACTCATAAATTTTACAAACGTATAAAATAACCAATAAATAAACCAATAAACTGCATACCTTCATGTTCGTAGATACACACGGGACTTTTAGTCGGAACATTTTTTCCTGAAATAAAAATTTTACGAGCTATACCAACGGCAACGGAGTTATACGACTCTTCCTTGAGAACTTGCTGTGACAAAGGTATGTATGTATTCGTACGACCGTAATAATAGTTAAACATTCAAAATTTTTATTACAAAATCTCTACAATATTTGCTAGTTTTTAACCAGAATTTCGAAGATATAACTTACATTGAGAAAGTAAAAACGAGCTTCCTTCCCTATCGATTGTAGTTTGGCCGTTTACTCTGTGCAGTGGTTGTGTTACTTCTTCGTCCGACTCTTTTCGTCAATGTTAAGTAATTGTTGTTGCATTCAAATAAATTGTCATCGTGATAGCACCGTTCTATAATATTTCATAAATATTTATATGAAAATTGTCAAATTAACATAATTCACTTATAATTACCGAATATCTGAATATTTCTGATTCTTCAAAAATGAATCATAACTCCAATTTGTCTACCACATTAAATTCAATTATCATCAGATTTTAAAGCTACAGAATGACTCGTGATGGAGATTTCTGGTAATAACCCGTTATGTATGAACGTTAATCCTTTCTTTCAAGTCGGAATGAAATTCTGTTCTCTTGTTATGGATTATTAAGCATTCAAGTAAATATAGGCACACAATAAATATGAATTTTCATTTCTAATTATCGAATTATTCTTTAACCAGTTAGCTGTTTTGATCTCGTTAAAAAGTATTTTATGCAGTATTTTGTTCATCCAATATGCAGTACTTGCATAATAATTATTTATATTTTTTTATGTCTACTTATTTTGAAAAAATGGAAATAGGTATTTTATTTTTATATTTCTTTATATTCGTTATTTAACGTACACACTATGGGGCAAAACCGGATATTTAACTACTTTCCCTGTGAGTGAGTCAAATGATTTTTTAATAAAAGGACTTCTCCACTTTCTGATTCTATAAGGATATTCGGTGCTGTTAAAAGTTTCCCTTGGCATGTGGTTTTTTATTAACAAGAAATATACATTACTGGTCGGATTGTGCCCCACATCCCCCTATGCGGGAAATTCAAATCGAAATTAAAACCGCACGAACTTATGGACCGACCTATTACAAAAGAGAGGAACTCAGAGTGCAGAACCTGTATCAATTTCGAGTGTTCTAACGACCGCCAGCGCTCCCTTATTTATTTCCTATATCGACGAAGCTCCTTGTAAATATCCTCTTTTTGCCTAAGCGGATCCGAGACACATTTCGCCGCGTTACGAGGAAAGAAAGGCTTGGGCAAAACGCCGCACCGCGCCAACGAGCGATCTTCCAGGAGTTAATTAAGGTCCATTAAGCATCCCTCGAAGGCCCCGAAGCTCCCGTCGAACGAGCTCCGCTCTTTGGTCGTCCGAAAGGACGCGACATCGTAGATTAATCCGGATATCTGGTAGCCTAGTTTTTCTCGTCCGATCGGAAGAAAAGGAAAGGAAGAAAGTGGCCGGCGCGGTAGCACGCGCGCGAGGCCGAGCCCCGTCGACGAGGACGCCGGACACCGTGACGAAGGGAGACAGAGAGAAAGGAAGAACGACTCGGTGGCGTGCGAACAGCAGGTGCACGACCTCTTCATGAAAACCACCGCTCCTCGGGCCTGTCCTCCTCGTTCCTTGGCCACTCGTTCCATCCTCGGCGGAGCGGTGCATCCTCGTTCTCCTCTCATCCTCTTCTCATCCTCATCATCGTGCTTCTCTCATTCTGTAGGTCCGCCGTCCTCGCGTCAACCACTTCCGATTCTTTTCATAATTAGCGGCCGCTGAAAGAACGGCTTTAATGCGTGCCGATTATTGTCGTTCGACGTCGCCCTTGCTATTCTGACCGATGTCAACTGCAGGAGATGCAAAAACCAACGGCCGACGCGACGCCGAGCCCCTCTCGGTACAGGCTCCGGACCCCGCCTGTCAATTATAGGAATATCATACTCCGTCGCGTACCAGGCTACCCCGACCTCGATGATTGTTATTACGGCACTGGTAAATTCGTACTCTTGTGGCGTGCACGATCATCCGGGATTTCAACAAAATCTCTTAATACCGATCACTTAATTCCGCCACTCCCGGGGCCTGTATTATCGTAATGCCGCTTGCCGCGTACACTTTCTGCATAGGAATTTATCGCTAATAAGTGGAATTAACTTTGTCTAGTGATAATTGTGGTTGTACCGTATGTTTTCCAACTTCTTGTCGCATTTGACGACTTGCGATCGCGATTTACGTTTTACGTTCCTTGCGCGTACATAGTTGTCAAGTCTGTGTCACATCAGGCAGCATATTATTGTATAAATAGTTTTAATGTTGTTTAAATAACAGGTACTGATGAATGAAGGATAAGAAATATATTTTGCAGTACTCCATCTACACGTATCCTATGATTTAGGATATATAAGTTAATACAATTCTTAAAAGTTACTTTAACCCCACTTGATTCTTTAAATCCAATTTCTTCAGGTCGAAACAATAAGTTGTTATGAAAAACGGTTGTATTCCAGAACGTACAAACGACGAAACAACAGACAATATAGTTATTATGTTATAGAGGTTCCACATAATAAATAATAATGAAAACAATAAATTGTTACAGAAAGCTGTTGTATTATAGAAAGTATAAACGATCATTTTGTTAGATCTCGCGTATAATAAACAGTAAAGAAAAATTGTACACAAATTAAATTGTTTCGAAAAACTGTTGTATAGTAGAACGAACAAACTGCAGACAATGCGCTCATTGTTAAACGCTGCACATATTAATCAATGACGAATTAACATAAGCGACACGACTTTGGCAACTTCGGTCCGAATTCACCGAGTCATTCCAAATACTACGGTCGAGCGAAGAGGGCAACGGTTCAACCGCATCGTTAATGAGCTGGAAATTTCATTAGCCTTATTAAAATTCGCTTTCTGCGCATCGCATCGCATCGGATCGTACAGTCACGCGAATTATACGCTCATAAATACCGCGCCGCGGTACCGATAATAGCTTTTAGAGGGAAAATAGGTGTTCGACGATAGGGAAACCGAGTAAGTGAAGTAATTTCAATGATTCTCCGGGGAACGCCGGCATTCCCCCGGGCATCTGCATATCGTACAAGTCGTAAGAGTAATTCGAACGATTATTTCTGTGCCACGTGCCTTGGCCCTCTCTCTCCTTCCCGATCGTATCCTCCTGCTCGTCCCCACGTTCTCGTTATCGTGCCGGTGGACAAGGATGGCTGGAGCGGTTCCGTGACAAGCGGAACAAGGAGAAAAATATGAGATGCACCTGTCTGTCGCGAAGGCAAGGTGCCAGGCTGAAGGCAACACTCGCTCGCGCCAACCGCGATACCGAGCTAATGAGCCACGGCGAAACCGCTATACGTTTTCTGCCAGCGCCGTCTTAAGCTGGATCCTTAATGCCCGTTAACACACTTTGTTGCTAACCACCGACGCGTCGCATTGCTATCCGAAAATTTTACAATTGGACGGCAGCGGTGTTGTTTACTTTGTTCGCGTTCCGATCGTATCCACGGAGGAGAGTATCGATACTGCAACCAGTTCCATTAATGACTAGTAAGGATCCAGCTTTAACGTGTGCGGCGCACTTCGCTCACCACGATTGATTGGCGCGCCATCGAGATAAAGACGGAAACCGCGAAAGTAATCCCCCGGTTCGATCTTTTTCTCGTCTTATTACCAAGCGAAGAGTAAGAGTGAAGGGGGAGGAGTCTCTTTCTGTCTCCCCCCCCTCCCTCTCTCTCTCTCTCCCTCTCTTTCTCTTTTCTTTCTCCAGGCTTAACAACGATCCACGGAATTAAAAGTGCCAAGTTTTGTATTTTGTAGTACTACTCGACTACTTTTTTTTATCACGTGTCTTTTACAACGCGAATATCCAAACACGAAACGTGAAACGTGTCTCCGCGTGTCACGAGGTGGTCAGTAAGCCCCGAATTAGTTTGATTCGATATAAGTACAGTGAGCGCCAAAATTATTGGTACTAATGTCTTCAATCCACGATGCACGGTGGTCCCAAATCCTAGAAACATGGCCAAAACGTAAAAACGACTCGGACTTAACCGTTTAAGTCCCAGAGGTCATTGAAAAAATACGGTCGAAAAATGTCGAAAAATGCTATAGAGCTTGTCTTAATATGCGTATTATTAGTTTATAAATATTTCCAGTTTTGTTCAATAAAAATAATTCAGAAGATAACAATTAAATATAATATGTGTTAATTGTATTATTTACATTGAAAAATGCAGTCGTGCGATGTACGTGCGTCAGAAAAATTGAGCGCGCTACTTCGACAGTCTGTGACTGTACTGTCGGTTATACATAGCTTGCAAATGTCCTGAGACTTATCGACACAAAATCTAAACAGCGCGATTGCGCTGCTTGGATCTCAAACAGTTAATTGAAAATTTACGATTGTCGGTTTTCATGCTCACCGATTACGCGAATCTGGACTTAAAACATCATGAAACAAAATAAGAAAAGTTGGAATGTTTGCAGGACCTCTGCGGGATTTTATAATGGTAAAAAACAGAATAGTGGTTCCAATATGGCGAACGAGTAGTACAGTAAATTCTCTCGAATTGACACTCAGATTGCACACAAAAATGGACAATTTGGGAAGCGGAGATATGATTATTCGAGCCTTGCGGCTTGATTTTGTAGTTACCGATTGTCAACAAATATATAATTATCAACAAATATAAATTGTCAATAAAAACGAACCGCAAGGCTTGAATAATTGTATTTTCTCTTCCCAAATTGTCCATTTTTGAGCATAATCTGAACGTTAATTAGAGAGAATTTACTGAACATTTCAAGAAATGTATGAGAATTATTTAAACTGAAATATAACACGTCTGCTTTTAAACGATTTTCAAGACTCGTACAACTTTTCTCTGAATAGCATACCTATTTTAATATATGTGAACGTTGTAATTTTCATTTTTAAAAGTTTGGGAGCATATTTTTGAAATTTTCCGTTCCTGATTTATTATATCGAAATTGATTTTGTTGATCATGTTACACGAGAATCTGATCTTACACGTAAATCGTTTGAAACGAAAACAACCGAACTGTTTGCACCAATCCATCATCGTTGTTATATTAAAAATGTAACTCGTGTCGGATAACTTGCCGTAACTTTGTCCCACATATTTTTGATCTCGTAACGAGCTACACCAGTGATTAATCACGACAACATTTTCAGATAACATATATCTCATATATCTTTGAATCTGGTAACGAGCTATAGCAATTAATCATGCATAAAGTCATAGATACACACTTGTCTCAGATCTGTCAATTTAATAATTCATGATTGATGAATTAATAAATCAGAGAATACCAAATACATTAGGGAAGCAAATTAACAAATCAGATACTAATCTAATTTTGTACTTCTCTCTCATTTACTCACTATTTTACAAAAATGTCATTATCCTATTATAATGTATATAAACTTCCAGATTTTTAACTTATAATTAGATTGTTCTCGCACGGGCTCGTATAAAAATGTTGTTCATCCGAATTCCGTCCGGATGGACACACAAACGATCAATAAAGAATATTATTTGAGAATTATAAATAGACTATGGATATTTATGCAACATAAAATATTTCTGTAGGAGACAGAAATTAGATAAAAATGTATTTCTTCGTTGAATTATGTCAAAATGTTATGTCAATATTAATCATGTTAATCATGTCACATTATACGCAATACTATTTATACAAAAGGTGTCGAAATACATCTTTCAATAATTTCTATTTAACACTAATTTTATCAAAAGAGTTGAAGGACATTTATCAATCATTTTTAATAAAAAATTGTTTCCTATGTTCTATGTTCTCTATGTAATCATTTCTCGACTTTTGCTATATTGATCATCAAATAAATTCGATAATTGTATGATACGAAATATCGATAAAAATAGTGTTAAATTCTTTTAAAGTCTTTGCAGGTTTCTGTTTCACCGACCCAGCTCTGCTATAGACGCATAAAATTCGCAATCTATAATCATGGGTCATTTGTGTGTAAATATTTGTCGGAAGCGGCCAGATTTGTGCAAAGATAATTCTCGAATTTTGCTTTACGATAATGCATCGTCGCACACGCGCCGATTTTGGTATGCGAATTTTTAGCGAAAATCTAAACAAAGACTATCATTCGAGCAGCTTATTCTTCAGATATGGCCCCGTCTGACTATTTCCTATTTCGTAAACTCAAATTACCGCATCGAAGAAGGCGTTTTGAATCGTTGAAGCCATGAAAGGGAATTCGCAGAAGGAGTTGAAGGCTATGCCTTCTCCAACGTTTGAAAAATGTTTTTAAGACCTGGGGAAGCGTTGGCGTACGTGTATTGGCTCGGATGGGACATATTTTATTCCCGGCAAAATTAAATTTTGACGAATAAATAAGTAGTTTGCATAATTTACAAAATACTTTATAAAACCGGTGATTTTGGCGTGCGAACCATTCAAAAAGAGTGGCTTTTAAGCATTTACCACGGTTTAAGTTGCACAATTTACGAATGGTGTGTACCTTTTGTGGAAATCTAGAGAAAATTGTAGCGAAGCCAACGTCGTCATCTAATGAGACCTACGTTAATTGAAACGGCGAGTGATGGGAGGCCCAAAACCGTGCGCTACCTGTCGCTCATTTGTAATTACGCAGTCTGTCTCCAGATACAAACTGACATAGAAGTTGTAAAATTCATTGTAGAATATTGTGCATAAATCAAGAAACGGAGTCTGAGATTATTTCACACAATTCCTTTTTACATGATGTATAGGGAAATGATGGTTTAACAGGGAATCAACTCTACCGACCGAGAAGTTCACTGACCTGTAACGCGAAGACGAATTCGTTGTCAAATTATCTAACAGCGGGGTATTATTATCAAGATGGTGTTGTTGGAAGCCTATTGACCGAGTCTACGCTCATCTTTCCTCGTACACAGTGAAAGTGTGTTTCGATTTATCGCTGGAAGGAATCTTCTCCGTGCTTCCTTCCCGAGGATAACACCATCGCTAGCGAATGAAAAGGAAAATTTGTCTTCCCTGTTGTTTCTCCATTGTTTCCGAAGATTAATTTTAACACACGGTTTTCGAACGAACCGCTTGTACAGACGCCTTCGTACTTGTTTTCGTTGATGTATCAATTAATTAACAAGGTATCATTTTTTCTAGCTCCATAAATCAAGAAACAAATCCAAACTACTATCGATGGAATATACTGTGATGTAAGATAAGATAAAAACAATGAATCACGAAAATGTTGAATTACAGTGATTTGTCAGTGATTATTTATACATTTAATAGAATTCTTAAGAAGATAAAGTATTTACTTATTAAATAATGTCAGAATCAGTTATTAATCGTATAACGTCCACTAATTTATTTTTATATCTTTTCCAATTAAATTGTTTGATATTATTGATTACAACGTTGGTGATGCTGAACAAAATAAATCGTTTTTAATCGTTTACAGGAATTACAAGAATATATTTATTGAGCTTTCGGGCAATTTTTTGTGTGCTATATGTACAAATATACAGATATGTATACAACCTTATTTAATTACTTTACTTTCCTACAGAAACAGTTTTATGATGGTTATATTTTTACAATAACGAAAATATAATACGGTAATTTTAATTTATGAAGCAATTCTAATATTATAATTACACTGTGAATTTTTATTACAAACAGAGGTATTTCTACCTCAGTTGTAACAAAGAGAT